ACAGCAGTGTGAGAGAGACACATCGACGGCTTGCCTCCCTCAGGGCCCCGACCGGCCGGGGATCAAACCTGCAACCCAGGTACGTGTGTTTGACAGGAATCAAACCGAGACCCTTTGGTGTGCAGGTCGATGCTCTAACCACTCAGCCATGCAAGCCAGGGCACTGTTAATTTTTTAAATGACGTTTTTAACTAAGAAAAGTCTTACATTAAAATGAAACCTGGCTCCTCAAATGGCAGGGAGGAGACCCTGAGAGGAGGTGCTCCAGGAAGAGGTGCCCTGGAGAGGGCCGGCGCCTTCCTGCACCCTGACCCGCCGGCCTGGCCTGGGGTTCACCGGTCCCCTCGCTCTCCTGCTGGGACGGTGCGACCCACACATCGGCTCCCTTAGACCCCAGGTGGGCCGAGGAGCCCAGTGGCTCTCTTCCTCCCATGCCCTTGGGCCTGGGACTCAGACAAGGCGGGTGGTCCCTGATGAGTGAAGACAGGCGCTGGCCCCGCCCGCCCGGGGGCCTTGGCACCCCTCCCAGCCTGGCCTCACCCGCCTCGGCTCTCAGCCCAGCGGATGCGCCACAGCTGGACGGCGCACGGCGCTCACAGTCCAGCTGGGTCCCGGCTCTCCCCCCGGAAGGGTCTCCAGCTGCCCTATATAGACTTTGGATTGGAAGATATCATCAACCTGATGAGTTTGCTGTTGCTGTCATTTCCATTTTGAAGTCCGTTTTTATTATAAAATAGCTCCTGCTCATTGGTGTTGGGTTTTCAGTTCAACCCCCCAGAAGCCACCGTTGTTACTAGCTCCTTCTCTGTCTACCCAGAAACGTTGGTGCGGCCCGGCTGGGTGGCTCAGTGGTTGAGCGTCAACCTATGAACCAGTAGGTCAGGGTTCAATTCCCAGTCAGGGCACAGGCCTCGGTTTGGGGCTCAATCCCCAGTAGGGGATGTGCAGGAGGCAGCCGATCCATGATTCTCTCTCATCACTGATGTTTCTATTTCTCTCTCCCTCGCCCTTCCTCTCTGAAATCAATAAAAATAAAAAAGAAACATTGGTGTGTAACGGGTCTGACAGACTGGGTCCCTGTGTCCTGCGTCCCTGTGGGCTCACACTCATGTCAACTCTGGCTTCAGCCCTGACTGGTTCATGCTGACGCTTTCCGACTGTCCTCTTGAGTCACAGCAGGAAACAGGAGGGCCGGCTCCTCAGACCACGGTGTCGGCACCGCCCGGCTCCTCGTCCAGGCCAGGGGCTCCATTTTAAGTCAGGCCGCTCAGCTGACGGGGCCAGGCATCTGATGAGCCGGGAGAGAGGGAAAAACACCTTGAAAATAATTTGGCATTTAAGGAGGAGGAGGAGACGGAGAGAGAACATCAAAGTAGTTATGCACTTAGGAAAATCACAGGTCTATACGCACCCGCACCTGTGAGGCTGGCTTCTCTGCAGCCTTGCCTGGGCCTGAGGTCACCTGGCTCCAGAAGCAATGCCCTGCGAAGAGCAGGTTCTACGGCCTCGCAGCCAGTCCCGCCACAGGGGCCGCTCTGGGGGGGCCAGACCTCCACACCCTGGAGAAACTGCACCCCCTCTTTTCCTCAGTCCCCAGAGGCCCAAGAGTCAACCAAGGGCTCCGCTGCTGCCCTCACACCCTCCCCTCTCAAACCAGATGCCCAGATCTCTCAAAGCCCAGGCTTGCCTAGATAAAACTAAAAATAAAAAAGACCGTATCCTTTTATGTAATGATGTTTACTTTGAATTTATATTAGTTCACACAAACACTCCATCCATGCTTTTGTTCCGGCCCTCCGGTCCAGTTTAAGAACCCATTGTGGCCCTGGAGTAAAAAAGTTTGCCCACCCCTGGCCTACGTGCATAATAAACTGACCTGCTACGTCACATGTCCTTGTTAGAAGGCCTGCGGTCGAGTGCCCCTGGGGAGGTGTTTCTCAGCCAGAGCCCAGGGTGTGCGGAGTGGACCAGACAGATTCCTTCTGAGAAATGTCGGTCCTTTTAGACAGCAAAACGCACATCCTCCCTAAGGAACGACCTGAGGATAACCCAGGCCAAGGCTAGCTGCAGGCGAAGCTG